TTATAGACTCATCAAAAATAAGTTTAAAAGCTGTACTTTTACACAATGGGAACACATGCTTCACTTCCTATTGCTCATTCAGTCCATACGAAAGAGACATATGAAAATCTTGAGCTTACAATTGGATGATCTGTAGAGATTTAAAAGTTGTTTGCATACTACTTGGTCAAGAAAAGGGATTTACAAAGTTTTCATGTTTTATTTGTGAATGGGACAGTAGAGCAAGAGAAAAACAGTGGTCCACAAAACAATGGCCCATAAGAAATGTTTTAACACCTGACGAGAAGAACATTTTGTACAAAACTTTGGTTAATCCAAAAAAGATCCTCCTACCTGTACACATCAAGTTAGGCGTAATTAAACAGTTTGTCAAATCCCTGCCTAAGATGAAGAATGTTTCAAGTACTTGAGTAGAAAGTTTCCCCATCTATCAGAAGCCAAATTGAAAGAAGGTGTTTTTGTTGGACTAGATATTTGTAAAATTATGTTCGACTCCACCTTTGAAACCAAGATGACTACCCAGGAAAAAGAAGCTTTTATGTAACCCAGTTTTTAGGTAATGTGAAAGACCCTAACTACGAGCTTATAGTAGCTAATTTATTAGATAAGTTTAAAGATTTAGAATGTTAATGAGCCTCAAAATCCACTTTTTGCATAACCATCTTGACTTTTTCTCTGAAAATCTGGGTTATGTGAGTAGAGAACAAGGCAAACGATTCCACCAGGATATCAAGGTGATGGAGAAAGGATTCTAGGGACGTTGGAACACCAACATGATTGGTGATTTAATGTTGGTCACTTCATCGGGAACAACAGAGTCCCTTGCATAGGAAAAAACCTACTTGAGAAGTTTTACAGGAAAAAGAAAAAAAATAACAAGGCATTGACCCTTGAATTTGAATTGCTTGTAAAGACCTATCCTATTACAAGATAAGAATTAGATAAAAGGATTTCTTCGAGTTATGATTATTTTAATGTATATCGGTATTTTGTCTTTTTCAAATTTATAATATAATGTAGAATAAACCAGTGTCACATAGTGGAAAAACTGGGTAATTCGTAAAATCTAATTTCATATTTTGTTAGCGCCAAAAAACACATAGGATTCACATAAATTTGTAAGAAAAGTTTTATAAATTTGTTTTCTTTTTGTTAGCCTGTGTAATTATTTATAGAGTAATTCCATTAAGTCATCGTGATAGTTAGTCACGGGATCGTATACCTACTTAAATTACTTTAAGGATTCCATGAGAAAAACTGTGAGCAATTCAATATTTAAAAATATATTACAGACAGCATACATGACCTTTATATCATTCATCATCATCTTTGGCTCGACAATCCTCTGTGGATCTTGGCCTGCTCTAAGATTCGTCGCCATTCTGTTCGGTTTTTGGCAACATGTTGCCATCTTCTGATTTTTAATATTCGTAAGTCGGTTTCTACTCCATCTAACCACCTAATTCGCGGTCGGCCTTTGCTTCTTTTTCCTACAGGTGTTCCTGTGGTTAGCTTTTTAGCAATGGTATTTTCTGGCATTCGTATTATGTGTCCAGCCCATCTAAGTCGCTGTGTTTTAATGAACGTTATGACATGTGGCTCATCAAAGAGCTGATACAATTCAAAATTATATCTTCTGCGCCACTGCCCTTGGTCGTTTACAGCTCCAAATATTTTGCGGAGTATTTTACGCTCAAACCTTTATATCATTAACGATGTCAATATAAACTTTGTTTATGAATTCTGTTTAATTTTTTAATAAAAATGGTACATAAGAACAGTTACAAATAAGTTAAGGTTATGTATATGTCAATCTCCAGAAGACAGTGTCCTAAAATCATTACATTTTCATTAAATCATTTTATCTAGAGACTAATCTAATTAGGTGTTTTTTTTTTTTTCGGTAGCTCTATATTTCGTTGCTTTTTTATTCTTTTACGAAAATGAATATTAGAAAAGTATGGGAAAAATATAGGCAAATGTCCGGGAATTACCTAACTTTTATGGTCATGTTTGTGAAAAATTATTTTTGGCCTGGGGTTGTGTAAAATTTACTTCAGGATTGAATGTTACGACATCTATACTACCACAAAGTCTTGTAAGTTTCGATTAGAGGAAGAACTCTGTAACGTGTAGGAACTACTCTTTGTTATTTACTGATGATTTCCAGTAGATGGCGCCACATGTGACCGTGTCTTAATCTGTTCCCAAACTAGTTTTCTCTTTTTATTGCCAACAATTCAAAGAATTACTTCCTTTTAAATGTAGTTACATTGGGTTTTTAGATTAACCGTGTAGTAACAAAAAACCACTATGTTGTTACTAGCTAAGTTTTTAAACATTCTAACTCTACAATTCTAAGTTACGATAAGATCGACGGTGTTTTTTTAATAGATAATATATGGTAGCTAATTATAATTTATTCTCTTTCATTCCTGAAGAAGCTAAATTAATTCTCTTTGGCGGAAACGTTCGGCGAAACAATTGATACTCATTAGAGTCTTTCTTGAAGATTTCCCCAATATTTAATAGTTTACTATTTAACTTATCTGCAAAGATTAAATTCCTTTTGTATATATATATATATATATATATATATATATATATATATATATATATATATATATATATATATATATGTAAGTAAAGAGTGAAAAAGATGGTAATTTTCAAAGGTGAATCGTAGATGCATGTCGAAGTAAAAGGATACTTCTAGCGTCGTTAAAAGCCTCTAGTTAGTAGCAAGAGGCTTTGAATTTGCGATTCACCTAGTTTTCTATCCGAGAGGTCTCTCGACTTCTTGTTACTTCATATATATATATATATATATATATATATATATATATATATATATATATATATATATATATATATAAAAATAAAACTGTTTTTGATGGGTTGGAGTCAATAAAATGGGCTATTTGTTGACTATTTTTTACTCAAGCTTTCAATTGTGATTACAATTTTTATCAAGAGCTTCTAAAAAATACAAAATATCTTACAAAGTTGAACTAGAAATAAAAAATTTTTTGTTAACTCACCAAAAAACTCACTTTTTTTTTTATTTTTTATTTTTTTTTTTATTTCTAGTTCAACTTTGTAAGATATTTTGTATTTTTTAGAAGCTCTTGATAAAAATTGTAATCACAATTGAAAGCTCGAGTAAAAAATAGTCAACAAATAGCCCCTTTTATTGACTCCAACCCATCAAAAACAGTTTTATATTTTTTCCAAACGAGTCACAAGTACTTCTTTTTTTCTTAATCATATATATATAATATATATATATATATATATAATATATATATATATATATATATATATGTATACTGAAAAAGCAATAAACGCTTGTAATCAACGCTGATTAGACAAAAATAACAACTATTTGGGTATTTTGCGAAAGACAAAGGACAAAGAAGACAGGATTTTCGGCTGGAAACTTTTTGGGAGGTGTGACCTATATAAGAACCTTCACAGCCCAAAAAACTAAGTTTTATCTGAGTTTGGTACTTTGTTTTTTAATCACTTGTACAAAGACCCCACAACTAGAGTGCTTATATAAGCAATTTTTAGATTTGGTAAGTATTGAGCAAATATTCTGGTCAGTGACGTCCTAAAGTGAGTGACGTCCTAAATAAATGGAAGTGACACAAAAGAGACGTAGGAATTTTGTTAGTCAGTAAATGAGAACAAGAGCTAACTTGTTGAGTATAACAGAGAATGTATTGAAGATGATTTTCCTGAGTAAGGGTTCGGGGTAAGAATTATCTAGGAACAATTGGAAAAAGGATGTAGAGATTCTTCTTTCTAACTCCACTAACTAAACACTAAACACCCTAACTAAACTGGCTAACCCTGTTTTACCTCAGAAACAATTGATTTATGAGTCCTGGGACACTGAGAACTTTTAATCAGCATGACCAAAACTAGTTATCTGCAAAGTTTCAGCCCATTCAACTGAAACCACTTTTACATAAGAAAAGTGCCGGGATCTTTAATATAAAGACGTCGAACAATAGTTTTGAGACTACCTACCGATTAAAATTTCTACAATTACAACAAATTTTTACTTTTTAGAAGATTATTTATAAAAGTGTTAGCTTGCTTTAGCTTGTTTTAGCTTGCTAGCTTTAAATATATATATATATATATATAAATATATATATATATATATATATATGTATATATATATATATTTATATATAAATATATATATTGTCACCTGTAAGTAGAACACATCCACGAAAGACAAACCTCAATAACGTAATTGTTCTTTCTCTTTGTACAACCTTTTCACTCAATAGATTTCGAGGATGCTTTACTAACAGCAGCACTTTATTTTCAGTTTTTCCTGATGATGAAAATAAACATTTTCGAAAGCTTAAAACTTAGTTAAAAGAGTACACTTATTTCACCGCTGAAAAATCCCAATAAACCTGAAAGCTCCGTTTTCTAACGTTGTCGGCAAAGACTTCTTTTTCTTTTATATATATATATATATATATATATATATATATATATATATTATATATATATATATATATATATATATATATATAAAGATACAGAAATAATAAAAAGAGCTCTTTCTAATATTATTTTTATATTTTAGGAACCTTTTACGACAATGTTCCTGTCATTACAAGGCGGAAAATTCGACTTTCCAAACCGAATTTTTTCTTCGATCTCGCTATCATGGAAGAACTGCCAAAGGGATACCTCAGACGTTAAGGAACTCATACCAGAGTTCTTCTTCCTCCCTGAAATGTTCGTCAATTCAAATAGGTACCGGTTAGGATTAAATGAAGAAGGAAAACCCATCGCAGACGTAGAACTACCGCCATGGGCGAGCTCACCAGAAGAGTTCGTACGAATCAATAGAATGGCGCTGGAATCTGAATTTGTATCCTGTCAGTTACACCAATGGATCGACTTAATATTTGGGTATAAACAGAAGGGACCTGAAGCCTTGAGAGCTACCAATTGTTTTTATTACTTGACGTACGAGGGTAGCGTTGATCTCGACGCAATTCAGGACAAAGTTATGAGGGAGGCAATCGAAAACCAAATTAGGAACTTTGGTCAGACTCCTTCACAGCTACTAATGGAACCGCATCCACCTAGAAGTTCAGCAATGCACTTGGTAAGTAGAGTTTTTATCAGTTTCAAAGCTTTTATTTCATATTTGTTAAATGTTTTCTTGTATTTTATTCAATTTTTTTTACGCAGTCTCCAATGATGTTCTCAACGATTCCCGACGACGTCTGTATGACCATGAAGTTCCTATCCAATAGTCCAGTAGTCCACATTTCGGCCAATACTTATCCACAATTACCGAAACCCTTCGGTGGTAACTGTTACCATGCACCAACAGTTTGCAGTCAATAAGTGGAACTCTGCGTATGCTGCTGTCGCTCAATCTCCCAGTTACGCGGACACTCCACAGAACCAAGCCTCCAATTTACCTCTTTCGATGGATGCAGTACTTTGTAAGTATAAATAATTATATAATTGGGATAAGCTACCAAAATTAAACAAGTTCTGTCGTAACTTTAAGCAGTTTTATTTACTGCTTTACACATAAATATAATCTTATTGAAATAACTAAAACGTCAATTTGTCGTTGTTGGGGAATGACACTGTCGCTTACGCTTGTTACCAAATCAATTATTATTTTTTATTTATTTCATTAGAGAATGATTTTTAAATGACTGTTAAAATTTTAATAACAGTGTCGGGCTAAGTCTCCTCTCTTTCATACACAAATTGCATTGGTGGTTTCAGCTTTTTGTTGATATGCTTATAATACTTGACACATTAGAGAATATCTAAGTCGTTATAGAGACTGATATCGTTTTATTTTTTAGCAATAAACAACAACAGCAATGCTCAAAACCAAATGCAGAGACGTCATCTAGGAGATAACTTCAGCCAGAACCTGAAAATCCGTTTCAACTGTTTCGTAACCACCGTCGACAGCAAATTTTTAATCGCCTGCGGATTCTGGGACAACAGTTTTCGAGTATTTTCCACGGAAACCGCAAAAATTGTTCAAATTATTTTTGGACATTATGGGGTAGTAACGTGTCTCTCTCGTTCTGAGTGTAACATCACGTCAGATTGCTACATAGCGTCTGGTTCTGCTGATTGTACGGTGTTATTGTGGCACTGGAACGCCAGGACTCAGACCATCGTTGGGGAAGGAGAGGTGCCTACGCCGAGAGCTACGCTTACTGGACACGAACAGCCAGTTTCGAGTGTTGTTATCTCTGCTGAACTCGGCTTGGTTGTTTCTGGTTCCTACGGTAAGTACCAATGCGTTTTTCTCTTAATATTGCTATATTCACTCTTAGGTGTATGTTCTAAGGTAATTTCTTTGAAAATCCTGTCAAAAAATGCGCTAGGCAATAGGCAACATACTTTACAACACTCTTTCTGATTGTTAATATTTTGAACTAAAGGAATTATTCCAAAATAGCAGTTCCATAAATGATTTGAACATCCAAAAACAAAATACAACACATAGAATAAGAGAAATTCTAAGAAATAAGAAAAAACTATTCCAGAAATGTCTTCCGTCAGTTAGGCGACAGACCACATGCTTTGCAAGGCAGTTAATGGTTGCGAATTCTATGTGTTCTAAATGTGTTCTAAAGGAATTTCTTTAAAAATCGTATTCCAGAAATGTTTGGCAAGAAAAACACACAATAATACACTTAAAAAATAGTTGCTGAATCTGTTCTTTAAAACACTTCCTCGCTAATTATTATTTGTTTCTTTTAAAATCTCAGTTCCAGACATGTATTAAACATGAAAATAATAGGCAACACATATAACTCGGACGGTGATGGCAACGTCACCGTCCGAGACAGAGAGAAAATAAGCGAGGCCATTGAAAAATTCTACACTAAATTATACTCGGTAAATACACAACCACAACAACGACGTACTGAACGAACAATAATTAACACCGGCTCAGAAGAAATACCGGACATAAGCGACTAAGAAATAAGAATGGCCCTAAATCAACTAAAAACGAATAAATGTCCGGGAGAGGATAAAATTACAGTTGAAATGTTGAAAATTGGTGGCAGAAAAATGGAACAGATATTAGGTATTTTATTGTAAGGAATTGATGAAGGAAAGATTCCTCAAGAATGGTACAACTCCAAAGTCATTTTACTATTCAAGAGAGGAGACAAAGCAAACATCTGTATAAATTACTAACTAAAATCATAACCAACCGCCTAACACATAAGCTCGATTTCTATCAACCTATCGAGCAAGCTGGATTCAGAAAACATTTTAGTACCATACACCACTTGCACACCGTAAGAACACTGATAGAAAAATGCACCGAGTGTAATGTTCCAATGCATATGGCGTTCGTCGATTTCCATAAAGCATTCGATTTCATCGAATTATGGGCAGTGCTTGAATCTCTAGAAAATGCTCGTATAGTTTGTAGTAGGCTAACATAATTAAAAACATATATGAAAATGCCACCACGCAGATAAAGCTGGACGAAAGCACCAAAACTAATCCAATAAGACTACAACGGGGAGTAGGACAAGGAGACACCATATTTCCCAAACTATTTACCCTTGCTCTAGAAGACATTTTTAAGAAACTAGAATGGAACAACAAGGGTATCAACGTCGACGGATCATACTTAAACCACTTGAGATTCGCAGATGACATAGTTTTAATAGCTGATAATATCCAAGAACTAAATGATATTTCACAACAATTAAATGCAGTTTCAGGAGCGGTAGGCTTAAAAATGAACTACAGTAAAACAAAAATATTGAGCCGACACCAGACAAATATAATAATACAAAATCATACCATAGAAAATGTTGAACATTATGTATATCTAGGTCATGTCATCAAACTACAAAAACCAAATCAAGATGGTGAAATTAAAAGAACACAACTGGCAAAGGGCGCTTTCGGCAAACTAGCATATATCTGAAAACACCTTCATTCCTGTAAACTTAAAGAAAAAGGTGTATAACACATGCATACTACCAGTTTGTACCTACGGCTTGGAGACAGTAGTCCTTACCAAGAAATCTGCTAAAAAATTAGAAACAACACAAAGATCAATGGAACGAATCATGTTTGGAATATAACTGAGAGACAAGATTAGAAACACCGAGGTAAGACGTAGAATAAAGATTAGGGATATTGTGGAAGAAATTACAAAACTGAAATGGCGCTGGGCAGGTCACGTAGCCCGATATAATGACAATAGGTGGACATGGAGAATTCTAGAATGGAGACCAAGGACGACAACAAGAAGCACGGTAAGACCTCAAAAAAGATGGGTAGAAGACACATGGCAGGCAAACAGTGGATTAGATTGGCGCAAGATAGAGATAGATGGAAGCTATTGGGCTTATTAGCTACATTTAGGAGTGGATGGAAAATGGTTGACAAAGAGACATATAACTAGAAAACTTTATTCCAGAAATGTATTCCGTCAGCTAAGAGATAGACCACACGCAATTTCTTATAATTTCTGTTTCGGGAATATCTTAAATCAGCTTGGCAATAAGCAACACACTATACAAGACTGTTGCTAATTACTAATATAAATTTTTTTCTTAAATCCCGGTTCAAGAAATGCATTAAACATCCGAGAAAATATACAACACACATAACTAGCAACAACTAACATAACACAAACCAAATTCTATTCCAGAAATATTACAACACTTTATCCTGGAAGAGAGTAAGTCAAATATTCTGTAACATACGTAACACAAATGTGCACCGCTCTCCAGAAGAAAAACAACGTAATTCATGATGCTATTGATGTGTGCTTATCTTTCATTTTAAGTGAATTTCATTAAAAAACCATGTTGCACACATGTCTTGAAATCCTACACGTTAGGCAATACACATAACCCTGTTGTAAATGTCTGAAACATCCTGGATGCTAGGAAACACGTATAATAATAATTCTCTTGGCACTTAAAACTACTAGGTACTACTATTTTGAGAAATTGCTTTCATAAAAAAAGTGGGCATAATTTTGATCGAATAATTTTTTTAGACACCTTTATTTTCAAAATATGCAAGCGAAAATATTATTTTTTCTATTTATGTTAGTTTTAAAATACGATCGTAAACCAGAAATTATAGGTCATTACATACATTTAAACATCATCTTATATTTTTTAGGTGGTCCTGTATTGGTTCACACCACATTTGGAGATTTACTTCGTTCTCTGGATCCCCCCAATTCATTTATTTCGCCTGAAAACATAGCGATGTCTCGGGAAGGAGTAATCGTCGTAAATTACGAAAAGGGCAACATAGCAGCATTTACTATTAATGGAAAACGTTTACGTCACGAGTCACATAATGATAATTTACAGGTAAGTGCCGAAAAATATTAGTAAATTGTTGGGTTGTTATTAAATACTTTTTTTTTTAATTGCTAACCTCACATACGTAATATAAACACAGAATAATAAACAATCAGAATGCCCACTCCCCATGGAAAATTAAGTATGCGTATCTCGTTCGCACAGACGTTCCGACATGTTTTAAAGGGAACCAGTGTTGTTTATGTTGTGTGCATAGAAAAATTAACCCGGTTTAAGTGACTTACGGCAATCATAGATATACTATACAATTAAATTAACATTGTTAAATATAATAACATAAATATAATATAATTAAACATAAATATAAACAATTACATAACCTCACAAATCATATGTCTGTGTTATGTGTTTCCTTCTAAAACATGGCACGCGCGCTGAGAAACTTCAAAGGCGGCATCTGAGAGTGGACATTCTGATTGCTTATTATTCTGTGATATAAACATACATAGCCTAAGATAAAGATAAACACTAACATGATACTATGAATAACAAGATAGGATCTTCCCGTAGCTCAAAATCGGTCGGTTCGCGCATGCCGTCATTGGAGACTAGAATTTGAATTCTTGTTAAAGTTAAATGAGATTTGTATGCATTCTGTGATGAAATTACTAGACGAAAATAAGTTAAGAGGTTTAATAATTACAATAATCGTACACATAAGGATATCTCCAAACTATTTATTAAAGATTATTTATTGATATATACAAAAACTGACATTTCGAACGTGCAAGTCTCCAATGACGTCACAAAAACATGCGCAATATCTTATCTTATAGTCATAGTATCATGCACTAACGTTTGTTGAAACTACAAAATCTTTAAAAATAGAAACTATAATGGTTTGGTTATATAAGAACAAGGGATAAGAATTAAGATAGAAAAAGAAATACTTACTCCAAACAGTATTTCTATTAGCCGCTTTCTTTGTACTTAAGTCATATTCTACTTAGTTAAAAGCTCTGTAGTGATCAATAAAGTCTAATATAAAAGTAACTGCTCGTATATCTGCATTGTTGGAATAGTAAATAGTATTTATTTTAATCCTCTTCGTCTTTCAGTGCCTATTACTAAGCCGTGATGGAGAATATTTGATGACTGGCGGCGACAAGGGAATCGTTGAAGTTTGGAGGACGTTCAACTTGGCACTGCTCTACGCCTTTCCGGCATGTGATAGTAGCGTTAGGTCACTTGCATTATCACACGATCAAAAGTGAGTATAGGCTTATTTAAACTGTATTTAAACATTTGAGCTGCTTTTGGCGACTAGTATAACCCAATCTGCTTAATTTTGGGAGAATTAATAATTAGTATTGGCTGTTCTAATAATCTAACGTGTATATTCTTTATATCTTAAACTTTTCTGGCAATTTCATTGCGTTTTTTATGTGCTTAGAGTGATGTAGTTCCTTTTTATATATATATATTATATATATATATATATTATATATATATATATATATATATATATATATATATAGATTAACTAAATCTCGATGTATCTAACCTAAAATTCACTTGACACGCACTAAGTAATTCAAACTACGTTAAATACAAGATGTGTTTATTATAACTACCTCGAAGTCTATTGTAGTTAATTTACTCAGTAGTATTCGGTTGAACCAAGCTTCCTGTTGCCTTGGAAGGACTACGTAGGAAACTTGGAGATTGTATTATCTCACAAGCTCGAGGGTAACTGAAAAAACAAATAAAAAATATTGAAAGTATGAAAAATATAGATAATAAACAACTCACGTGTATAAAGATACTTATTAATTTTAACAGGATAGGTTGAAAAGTACGTAAACTTTGTAAAATAAAATGATCTCCAATAAAACATTATGCTACAGTTGGCGAACGTATATTAGCAATTTTTAACTTACATTATTTCGAATTCTTTTAACAAGATTATGTATATTTTCAGGTTCTTATTAGCTGGTCTAGCACTGGGTTCAATTGTAGTTTTCCATATTGACTTCAATCGGTGGCATCACGAATTCCAGCAACGCTACTAGAATAGCAGCCAACAGACTGCCTGCTTGAGATGTAAACACTTAATTAGTACCAGCTGGTACATACTAACGCGTTAAGATAATTGTTTATTTTTATTTATTAAGATAATTTTACTTATTATACATTTACCTTGCGTACTATTCGAAACTAGTTATTTTTGTGCAATAAAAGCTTTTCCAATGAGTTGTAATGTTGGTGGTTTATGAATTTTTTAGTTGTTAATCACTCCTCTAATAGTAACAGATTTTTAATAAGTTGTATAGAAATGATGTTTGGAAAAGACACAGAATAGAGCAGAGCCGAGAACAAGGAATAATTTGCACCAAAATGGAACGTCTGTGTACACGTAATTGTGTTGCATAAGTGTGGTTCAACTAAATTACTCTCTAGAGACTTTAATTAAACTATTGCTATTTAATTAAGCTATTGTGCTGACTTTTTTTTGTAGACCTTCATCAACCAATATATTTCTAAACCTTTTCTCATCGGTATTCTTTCCTTTTGATGCTTCTTTAATATTATCTGCATCTACTGCATCTGTAAAATCCATTTATTTAACTTCTTGGAGGTTTTACAATACATTGTTTGATACTTCTGGTGCCTACTCTTCTTCTGGCATGATCACATGTCGTACTAAATAGACTTTTTTTGTCTATTTGGTATGTTTTTGGCTTTTTATTCTATGACTATATCCTGAAAAATATTTTTAATGATTTCCAGATTATGGTCTTCTTTATAAAATCGTTTGTTGTTTAATTTTGACTGCTAAATACCTGCCTTCTTGATAGTGCACCTTTCGTGTCCACATTTTTGGCTAAGTGAGGTTATGTTAGGTTAAGTTTCACTAACGTACCTTGTTTCGTGTTTCTATACTATTTTTTTAATTGTCATTTCTTCATTTTCAACCACTTCTTGTAGCTTCTTGTCATCTGACATCAGCTGTCTTCCAACTTATCCAATGTATATTCACGGTTTCTAGGTTGATACACTAGACGTTTACCTTAATTTTTGACAAATATTTATAACATAAAACATTTCTATGCGGTTTTAGGTTGTAAACAAATGTTCGATTCTTTATTTTATGGCTGGCTCTTTATTTCTTATAAGTATGAGTACAAGATCATCCAGAAAAAAGGGTCTCTGACAACTATTTTTCTCCTTTTTTACTAATTGCGATAATTCCTTCTTCTTTTCCCCTGATTATGAGACAATGTACTCTAGAAAAATATTTCTGTGCACTATAGATTCTTGTGAATCAGTTTTCTTCTTTTGCTTATAAGCCCATAAAAATATTGCCTGGTGTTAAAATTTACTTAATTTTTTCCTTCTTCCTGTTCGGTGTGGTTCTTCTCTTGTTTCTGATCGTTGTGCTTCGAATAAAAGCAAAACATGCACGCCCTAAATGTCTTCAAACGAAGATTTCAATATAGAGATTTATTTAACAACTAAAAAATATACCCTAATGGATGTAACATAGACTCACTACACCTTGTTGAGTTTGACCGTTACCGTAGGTATATGTAGATAGCATTTCTTTTAGTGAAATAATTTTAAATATTCGATTTTAATCATTATAGTATTTAATACTTAACCCTTTTGAAAATAACGTATATTTGTTTTATTTTGTGTAGCTTACTATGAAATAATCAGAAGAGGTGATGGAATTGATTGTTATTTAGAAGCTTTAGTCATTAAACAATTAAATATAATTCACGAAACGATCCAAAAATATTTTAAGGAGTTGGTTGCTCTATAAATACAAGTTCAAATCACTTAAATAGCCCTTGTGATCTTACTCGTACTGTGAGATATATATATATATATATATATATATTATATATATATATATATATATATATATATATATATATATATATTACCTAGTTTGTTAATTTTGAATCTTCCTCTAGTCTAGTTTATATGACACAAATTCTTTTTTAGTTAAACTTTCTTTAACTTTAACTTTCTTTTAACTTTAATTTGAAGTTCTTGTCCTTTTTTTCTCATATCTTACATTTCCTTTTTGTTAGAACCTCAATCACAAAAAAGCTGTCACTCAATACTTCTTTGTACCTACAAGGTGGAATTTTTCTGAATGCGTTCCGTATGTCGATAGTCTTAAGTAACTTTGTATCTAACGTTGAATAGTTGTTTCATTTTTTTGCCAGAAGATCAATTTAAACATCTCTCACCAAATTAATCCTTCCACCCACTAGGTGGCGCTACTTTGAGTATGTTCGATATAGCAGGAGTAGGTAAGCTCTCGAATATTAATGTCATTGACATTAAAGTCAATGTCATTATGACTAAATTTTTATTATTGTGAACATACCTTTAATCTTCTCAGTTTTCATTGCATATTAGCGTTTATGTTCATGTTGTCTCCTTTATCTTAGTTAGTTAGAAATAGCAACAAATAGTACGCTTCTCTCGCCGTTCCATAGTCCCACAGAGGATCCATAAAAGGATCATCTGCTGCTAAATTAATTAACCAGTTAGTAAAAATTTACACCCTATTTAGAAAAATGCGTTTAAAGATGGACAAATGTGTACTTAAGTGATTAGTTTCGTAGTAATTGAGCAAACAACTTTTCTCCGTAAAATATTGGAACACTTAATAAAGTAATTGTTATATATCCCATCATACATTTTGATTATTTTCATATAATTAATTTTAAGGCTTTGTACTTGCCCTAGGAACACAAGATATGAAGTTAATAGAATTTTAAATTAAAAAAAAAATCGCTAAAATTTGACAATAAAAGGTTAGAATCAAGTTATTTTTTGAAAAAGAAGCTAAAAAATATTATTTAATAAAAAAATAGACATCCAATGACTGTGATCGTTGCATTTGCTATAAAACATTCCAAATTGTATTACAAAAATGTTGGTAACAAAAAAAGTAAATAAATCTAGTCGACAAGTGATTGTAAAGATAGTTCGAAAACTTTTCTACAGTTTTATACTTAAAGAATGCATATAAGCCAAAATTTGTTCACACTTTTATAAAAACTTGTCTCTCCTCTTCAATGAACACAGAAAAATATCTGGAACTTGTTGAATTTTTAACTGAAACCAATTTTTATATCATCATCTTAGGTCTCAATGCTTTTGTTACAAGCTTTGCTAGTTCTAACAACTACTAAGTAAGAAACTGTCTAGTACGAAATCATGCAATAAGTTTATGATTTTTTTGAAGTTATGTTGGGTGTACAAACCTAATATCCTATACTTTTTCCATAGCACCTTTTCAGAAACATATCAGATTGGTTTTTGTGATGAAATGCGGAAACAACGGCTTAAAAAAACACAACATCCGTTCGAAAAATATTTTTACTGATGACTGTTTGGGAATTCAAACCGAATTTACGTGCAGAAGGTTTAAAAAATCCTTAAATTGCCACGTCTAATTTACTGATTGACTAAAAAATTGTAAATAAACTGAAACTAGGGCAAGTACACCAAGGAGTCAATCCTGCAGATGGTGTACAATCGACATAACCTTAATTAACTAAATTCTCCTACTAGCACGTGTTACATGAATGTAGTCTTTTATATAAGTATAACAAATATAACTATTTTTGCAAATTATTGAGTTTTCAAATTCTTTCAAAGGTCGTTGAAGATCTCATTATAAACAAATTGTGCCAAATTTACATTCTGGGTAAACGCGTTGTTAAAAACTTTGGACTACTTGATAACCTTTCCTTTAGAACGAATTTTTGTTGGGTAATAAACGGAGAAACTCTTTTGAGTTAAAAAAATAATATTTAAAGATTATTATTATTCGGAGAAACTCTTTTGAGTTAAAAAAATAATATTTAAAGATAAACCATTTTGATTTGTTTCTTTTTATTTCTGTTTGATCATGATTATCTACAATTTTGTGCAAATTTTTTATAATATCAGCTCGGTTTCGGTTCTTGTGTATCAATTTTCTTTAATATTTAAAAGATAATTTCATATTCATTGGTCATTTTTATTTGTTATTGCAGTGTTGTTTAAAAATAATGATTAGACAAAGAATTCATGACGTCATGATATGTGTTGACCTCACTGACAATTGACAAAATGCCAATGTACGTCCTGAAGTATTTTGACATCTATTGCATTTTATGGTAACTGTCAGTTTTCACGTGTAAAGTCAAGTTGTAGAATACACTGTGAAGAATCACTGCAATAATAAAAATAGATGAATATGATATAGAATATTATTGTTTATTGTTGATTTTTAAATATGTATTATTCAAAAGTAGATAATGTGCATTTCTTTTCAATTATTAATCTTGTTTTAATTTCAATATCCTATTATTTAAAAAGTTTAATCTGTTGATCCTACATAGAGTACCTTAAACATAATATTTTGTAAATAATTCTCCTTTTTCAGAAAAGTAGTCTATTTCCTGTATGATTTTCTAAAAATTGAAACCCTGATCTACTTTTTAGTATCGTCAATTAGAAATTGTCCAATTACGTAATTGGAAACTTTTGTAAATTAAAAATTGTATATCTTAAAATATAACAAGGTGTAAATTGACAGATCGAATGTATTTTTTCTAATCGGGTACTGATTTGTCGGTTGTACTGCATCTGTTAGCTGGTTAATTTTGAAAATTAGTTAAGTGATGTTGTTTGAACATTTATATCAAAGACCATTACAATTTTCTATGTTATTTCTCACGTAATGTTTAATAAGTTTTATCTGGATGGTTTTATTATTGAAAATATTTTAAAATATCCCAATAATACAATTTTTATAAAGTTTGCATTGCAATGGGTGATAATGTAATTCTTCTTTACTGGATTTTGGTATCTCTTTTCTCTCGGCACACAGCCAAGGTGATTTCGGTTTTCGGGCTGCTTAATATATGTATCTTCTTTATTTACTATCAAAAGTTTGTATTTTAAATTAATAATGCATTAGTCATTTGTCATCTAATTGTATTAGTCTTGTTATCATTAAAGGTAGCCCATTATTAACGTTTTCTTGTTAAGTTTCTTCTATCGTTATTAACCATTCTTACATATTACAATAATACATTTCTCTCATTTTCAGATTTTTATCGTCGCCCACTTTTTTCTTGTACCTTTTCTTTCTTTCGGTTTTTGTTTTCCCAATATTTTTTTTTTCTTCCACTCCTTTCTAAATATAAGTTTAGCTATTTAATATTCTTCTCCTATCTCTCTATTTTCTCTCCTCTCTTTTTTTGGTGCATGTATCATATCAGTTTAGCTCTTGTTTCATAATTCTACTTTGTTGTTCCCAATCCCCAATACATTTTCCTTATTATTTTTTCTTAAGTTTCTTCTGTCTCTCTTTTTCTCTCCCGTTCCTATTTCTTATTTTATTTGCTTACTCCCTGACTCATATTCGAACGTTTCAAATATTTTCCTGGGTATGATGGTACAGCTATATATTTTCGTTATCCTTTTTTTACTTCATCACTTTCTTTATATCAGTTTAGCTCTTTTTTAATTTTTTCCTGCCCCTCTATATTTCTCCCTTTTTCTTTTTTGGTACATCTTTCTCTATCAGTTTTTTGGATGATTGTACAGTTAATCTCCTACCTCCTATTCTACTTTTTTTTTCGCTGTACATCTGTCTGTAGAATTCTGCATTTCTCCCTGTTAGTTTACCACTTACCCGTTTTTTCATTTTCTGTATTTCTCTGTTTTCCCATTTACCTCATTATTTCCTAGTTTCTATTTTCTGTTATCTCCAATATCTTTTCTCCTATTCCCTCTTTGCCCTTCTCTCCTTTCTTCACAGTTAGTTTCTCTGTCGTTCATCTTAAATGAGTAAATAGTGAGCTCGTAATTATGTATTACTAATGAATCCACCTTAAGTTTGTAATAAACCAATTAATCCAAAAAGAGTTCGAAGAAAATTGGCGAATTGCTTTATATTAACAAGAAACCAATAATTTTCATATATAAATATAATTGTATTGTTACAAAAAACATAGCTACAAATGATAGCTTCGCATTTGGAAAACTTTAATCATTTTGGGTGATACAAGTAAAATGCTAAGAAATATTAAAATTATGCAATAATTCTGTTAAAAAATGTATGCGAGGAACAAACTAGGAGATATACGTTTTTGAGGTGACGTTTTCACAACATTACTTAGCTAGATGTAAGTTTTTAAGCACCGTAGAGTTGCTTACGGCTTGCACATCCAAAACCAGCAATTGTTAAGGCCATATCGGCGCACTTTTTCGACATAGTGTGTGCCTCGTTTGAGAAACGAGGCACACACCATGCCCCAAAAACACATTCCCTCCAGCAATTGTATATTATTACCTAAATATTGCAAATCTGTCCAACTAAATCAAACTTATTGTAAATAAGTAAGATGGTTTCGTTTTTTTATGAAGCGCTGTCAACTAATTGTGTATTGAAATATTTACTTAACGTATTATTTTACTACTTATGGAAATATGTACTTAACTGTAAGAAATATGATATGTTTGATGTTAGCAATAATATTTCATTCATTTGTATACATGATAAACTATAAAATAAATGTGTTTTGTTCAAGACTAGCGTTTTACGTTTTATCCACCTTTATCACATGATTTCCTTAAAAATTATAAAAAAAGGTTTGTGGATAGTTCTGCGAGTTCATCTGCAGATTATCTACATACAGTTTTACAAGGGGGTTTAGCGACTAATAGATCCTAGTAATAGTAATAAGCAATTAAGTAACTGACATTTAGTTACTTTTGTTGCTATATTTCGAAAAATTCATTCTAGCGTTGTACTCTAGCTCTGACCGACATTTAATTACTTTGGCTAGACCATTTCGAAAAATTCAATTAGCGTATTCGCCAATATTTGAAATGTCAAAAACGCTCTCACTATAATTTCATTTTTGTAAAAATCAACTTTTAATTTTGCAATTAGAAAAAATATAGCAATCAAAGGCTATTTCCATAAAAAATTAAGATTTTTTGTAGAATATCTACAAAAAATGTTTTTTAGGGTTTGTACGATTTATCAAAACAAAAGCAATTAGAACCTACATTTAATCAAAAAATTTACGCTTTAACAGTTTTATCGAGAATTTATCATTTTTAATATTATTATAATATTATTATAATTGAATAATGCAATTTAACTTTGGCTGGAATTTTTAGTGAGCTTCCTATGTTTGCCTATTTGTCTGCAACACAATTGCGCTTAATATCCGAATGCCCTGGAACCATGCCAGAATAATACTGATGTTCTGTTGAATGGCTTCTATAATGCCCCTTTGGGTCATGATAGAGGTATGTTCAGTTTCGATTGAGTAAGATGTTTTCCCTATCTTTTGGATAGCACTCTTAGAATCAGACACGATTAAGGCCCTCTTGATATCCTTCTCCAAGACAAATTGAACCGCATGATTAATTGCAATAATATCTGCAGTGCAAACTTGAGTCTGAATACTCATACTCTAGTAAATTCCCTACGCAAAGTCAGGACAGAAAACACTAAATCCTGCTGAGCCCTTACTATTAACTGACCAATCTATAAAGATTATAGTGTGAAGTGGATTGTCAAGTGAAATTCTTTGAAATTGAATTAATGCATGCTCATCACATCTATTAGATTGCACATTCCAAATACGGATAGAAATTAATTGATATTCTAATTCAAAATTGTGGCACGGAAATAAGTCACTAGAAAATAAATTTGGATGGAAAGTAAGAGGGGAATACTTTTTTTATTCCAGTAATTATAATTTGATTGCATTGATATCTGTAATTGATTCAAGGTAGAAATTATTGGATCGTTAATTAGCATAAGATTTTTTAGAAGGAATTTAGAATTAAGTCATTCCCATCTGTACTTAAAAGGAATTTGACCACTTTCACCTAACAATGCATGAATAGGGGTAGATATTATACATCCTGTTATGATACGAATACTCTTATATTGTAATTTATCTAACCTGTTGATTAGTGCCTTAGAACAATCTGATAATATTTGACATCCATAATCTAAATGACTCTGTTATGGCTCCATTATGAACTATCTGGAGAGTTTTAGGATCACTACTCCAATATGTTCCACATAGAGCTCTCATTACATTCAAGCTACGACTTACTTTTAATTCTATTAAATCTACATATGATTTCCACTTTGGGTTTTTTTGAATAACTACCCCTAAATATTTGACTGTATCCACCCATTTAATTGCATGACCTCTAATTCTTACGTTTGGAGGATTAACCTTACGATTCCCTTTCTGAAATATAATTGCCGAGGATTGTAAGATAGATTAAAGTTGTGTTCTAATAACGAGAGATCCACCCTTTCCATTAACAAGTTCAAAGAATTAATTAATTTAAGTAGATCAGCCCCACTAACCAAAATAACCAAATCATCTGCATACTGTGTCAGATTACAACCGTTCGTAGAATATAGAATATATGACATTTGCTGGTTGAATAGGAATGTCACATTTAATTAGTTTAGAGTATAACAGAGATATGTTGACACTATCATAAGCTGCTGAAATATCTAGGAAAAGTCCTACGGTAAATTGATCCAATAAAAATCCTTGTAGTATTTTAGAATTTAGTAACGAAATGCATTCCATGCAACCTCTACCCCTTGTAAAACCAAGTTGCAATGCTTAACAAATAACGTCCATATCAGTTTGTTTCCACGAGATAGGAACCTAAGAGTAATGATCCAGAGTGCGGTAAATTTTTTAACATAGAGTATGAATCCTGATCAGGACCCACAGCAGAATCAGTTTTAGAAAGAAGAGTATTGTGATATTCATCAAATGATATGCGATTCTCAGAATACTGCAGAGGACTGAAAAGTAATTCAAAGTCACCAGTAATAGGTGAGATAGATGTTACAATTTCCTGGGCTACCTCCTTAGGTGGTAATTGAGATAAAAGAGACAATTTACTACCAGAAACCTTGTTAATTTTATTCCAAATATCTTTAAGGAAAATATTTCTATTTAGTTTGCTACAAAAGGATCTAAAGCTTATTTTTCTTTTTAATTTTAAGAATTTTCTAGCTCTCGCTATGAATTTTTTAGCCTCTATATATAGTTTTCAACGCTAGGAGAATTTTTAAATGTATTAATAGCTGAAACTCTCTATTGTATTATCTGAGCACATGAATCATCCTACCATGGAATGTGATATTTGTTGTTATGAAAGGAGGTCCAAGAAATTGATGTTTCTGCCACTGGTGATATATATTCGATAAAATTTTCATAGTCCTTAATTGGAAACGATGAGAAAATACACTCTAATTTTTCATGGAAATAAAACCAATCAGCTTTTTGGAAATTTCTTCTTTTAGAAACCTGATTAGAGTCCTGTGTTAGGATACCGACATGGCATAGAATGGGAAAATGATCACTAGATCCTGTATCTAGAATGGTGGTCCATCCACTAATTTTAGGTGCCACATCTATCGAAGCCAATGATAAGTCAACCACTGATTTGCTGCCACCAGGACAAACCAATCTTTTTGGAGAACCATCATTTAGAAAAATTAACTTTAGATCTTCTGCAGTTTGTAAAATATTTCTGTCATTAACACTATCTCTTGAGCTTCTCCATGCTCTATGATTACAATTTAAATCACCCATGATAAGTAGAGGTTTGCTGATCTAGTTGACCAAAGAAAACCAGCGTTACCAAGTTTTTGTAATGAAATGGTCTAAAGGACAATACATATTTAATTATATTTAAATTATACTTGGGTAAAAAGGTGAGTTGAAATTTAACATCTCGAAAATCTTTATTGTATTTGATAAGGGTAATTATCCCCCATATCCATCACCTCCATCCTTTCTGATAATGTGATACCCTCTGCATCTAATTATGTATTGGTTAGATAGCCAAGACTCACTAATGAGGACAATTTCAGGGTTATAGTCTTTAATAAGCACTTTTAAGTTATCAACCTTTGGTATTATAAGATCTTATATTCCATTGTATAATAGTTAGTGGGACGTGATAATTGAAAATATAAAATGTTAAAAACATGTGTGTACCAGGTCAAGACGAGAGGGAATCAGTATTCTGAGTCCTCAAACCCAGATACCTCCATCCCTCCTCGCTCCAACTTATAGTATTATGTGATACACTTTTATTTTTAAGTTTACCAATCTCTACATTTAATACAACATGATCCTTAGGAGAACTATAATTTTTATTAATCAATTCACCAATAAATGTCATAACCAAATCTCTCTGTGATTTTGATCGAGCATTAATATAACCTAATTTAAATCTCTTTGGGTCTGAGAGTTATTTATAAAGCGACTAGGAGATTCTTTGGGGATCTCCGATTAGGATTGTTTAATACTTTAGAATGAAAAACTTTGATCAAACCCAACATTTCATGGTCTTTTCCTTTTTTGATGGAGTGGATTTTGTGATCTGACTGTAGGAAACAGAATTTGAAGACAGGGATGTAGCAACTGATCTCTTCTCTTGAACTGAAGATTAGGAAAATCCTTAATGTTCGACGTTGGGCTAGATATTTCCCTTGGAATGTTTTGGTTAGCTTCATAATATGATAAGTTGGCAAACGACATAAGTTCCATAATACTCTTTTGTCTTGTTCTTTCTTTACATTCAGGATGTCTAAAGTCATGATCTGGTGTTTTACAGAACATACAAAACCTACTGCACCCTACAAACGAGGGAGAATCATGATTTGCACCACATGTAACACATCTGTTTTTTTCCCTTGCATTGAAAAAGAGAATGCCCATACAAAAGACATTGGAGAACTGGACTAGCAAAGGGTATCACCCTCATAGGCAGAACATTAATTTCAATTTCTTTGATGGGGATATTTCTATCTGAAAAGTTAAACAGATAGTACCTGTAGGGATGAAAGTGGTTTCTGAATTATTTTGTATAACCCTTCTATTCATTTTTTTTAACACAGATAACTCTAAAAAAGGTAGATTAGTAGAAGTTGACATTTTAATTTCCTCTTCTGACAAAGATTTAAAAACTCCCCTGGCAATACCTTTACAAGAGATAAGATGAGTGGAAATGAAAACCTCATAACCTAATTCTTCCCAGTCCTTCCTAAGGATAAACGAATTGGAAGATTGTCTGTCCTTGAATACTACCCCAACTCTAGTTTTTCCCTTTCTATCAAACTTAGCAATCTCTTTCAGTTTTAAATTAAAGATAGTCTTAGTAATACTTAGAATATGATTACTATTTTTACCCTGAACAAAGACAACATTAAAGAATTTTTCTTTAATATTTACTTTCTTTATTGCATTGTTTTGGGACATATTTTGACTTATATTAGTGTCGGGATCTTGGTGGCCGGTCGGGAGAAATTTCTTCCTTCATAATGGTGAACGTTAACAAACTTTAAATCTACCAAAACGTTTAGATGTGGTTTGACTATATATAGAAGATTAGAAAATATGTAAAAGAATAGGATCACAAAGAAAATATAAGTAAGGCCCTTACTTGTATTTTTTCACCATTCACCATCAAATTTCGAAAAAAAAAATCAACCTGGAACGATAATTATTCAAGCTTT